AACTTTCGGCCCGCTGATGTATACTATGGTATACTATACCACAGAATAATTTCATAAAGTATACTAAGCGGCTATAGAGAGACTTTGGCTGGGTTCCTGGTTTGCATCCCTCTGCCCAGCAAGAAATCCTACACCAAAATCAAAGGTACCCTTAAAGGGGACAGTAAGGGATACATAAGTTTTATGCCAAAATTAGGGGTACCCTTAAAGGGCTTTTAGGGGTATAGGCTTTAGGGTTCAGGTCCAGCCAACTGCTGTCCCTTTCGTTCTTTGCACAAGGTGTGACAAGGTGTGTTGCGAAAATTGAGACCTCTCAGTCTAACCTCCGCTAAGTTCACAGAATGAAATATCCAACTCTGCTACATCAGCATCAGAGTACCTTTCCTGATCCTTCTCCAATTCTTTACATTGAAGCGCATTGGAATCTGGAGTCAGGACATCAAAACCCCCGAAGCGCTACTTGTTAAACTGTTATCTGCATCCAAAACTCTTCAGAACGTTCCGAGGCCTTTGCATGATAGCTAAACCCTAAACCCCTAAACCCCCCAAACCCTAAGCCCTAAGCAGTCTGATAGCATTTGACGCAAGTCTCCAGCCTGCCCGTGATCATCTGCAGCAGGGTCTCCTCTGCTAGGCCAAAGGGATGCAAGCGTGAACCCAAGCATCATGATCTGGTTTAGGGCCTAAAGCCGAAACCCTAGACCCTAGGGTTGAGGGTGTAAGGGTTTTGGTGGACTTCGATGTAAATCATAGGCTTCCACCACTCCCTACACCCTACCGCGTTCCGCTGCAGACCTTGCTTTGCCACACCAACGATTTTGGAAGGTACCTGGGGTTATATAGGGTTTATGGCTTTGGGTATATTAGAATAAGATCCCCATATATCCCATATTCTATTTACTTAAGGGGGACTACCGTAAAAAAGCGCGAATGAATTTTGCACATGTGAGCTGCGCGAACTGTTGTTGAGTACGGCGTGTTTGGCTTCAACACCCCTCCCTTCTTTCAGACCGATAAAGCTGCAACCATGCAAGATCCCATATGCGCTTATCATGCCCCACCCAGCACCACCAATTCCCACCCCCAATGCAATTAAGCAAAAGTTTAAAAGGTCAGGGCAAGAAACGTGAAGCACAATACAGTCCAGATTTGACTGGCAAGCTCTGCTGAAGTTCATCACAACAAGCGAAGCCAGCATCACGAAACCGCTGAATCCAGCTAAAACAACACAAGTCCCAACGTCAGAGATTGCTCTGGAAATTGAGAAGCCTCAACCGGAGTGACCGTACCTCCAATGCTCCACCAAGGGTCGGACAAATCGTTGATGGACATCACCGTGTGACTCTTGAAAGGCTTCAACCACCACTGGCGGGCACGGCCAACTGTGAGTAATAAGATTACTAACAACAATGATGATCATATTTAATACTACTTATTAATGTCAGTAACAATAATAATGATAATACTAGAGCAGCAAGATTTCTTGGGAGTTGGTCCGTTTGACGACAAGAAAAGTAACACTGGCTTTGTTCAAAAGCCATGCTGATCAAGACTAACCCATGATTGTGCGAAAGCTGCAAGTTCCTAAGGTTCATAGGACTGGCCATTTAGGCTCCAGCTTTGCAAACGTTCAAAACTCTACGTTACAAGCCAGGTAGGCTGCAGCAAGATGATAAATCTGTCCCACAAGTCCTTGCGGAACACAAACCAGTGTTGGCGGGTATGCTATTCTCTACTAATTACATCAACCTGTGTTTGCTGGGGACGCAGTCATGGAGGTTGGTCCGCGGTCCCCATAAAGAGCAGCTCAACATAACAGGCCATGAGTTCAACCAGTCCTCGAGTGAGTAGTTCCTTGCCGGTCTTCTATACCACTACAGCAAAATCTAGACAGCCCATGGAGCTACTAGACTATTTGGGTTCAGGGTTCACTGTTATTACTATGTATGAAGGTACGATTACCATTACCATTACTGTAGCACACCAATAGTATATGGACAGCCTATGGGTCTATGCGCTTCCGCAAAAGTAGCCCTGTTTCAAACTAGTCTCCTGTAGTGGGTTCCTGGGCTGCTGTTAAGGAACTTAATTACTGACTATAGCAACATATTCTGGTAACTTAACTTAGGTTACTATGTTGGGGGAACCATATGAACTACTATAGAAGCCCATGGTGATAACTTAAGTTGCTACAGAGCAACCCAGGATTCTACACCTGAAGCTTGCCTTCCACAGCTGGTTGCGAACCCAACCACCAGTGAAGAAGGCATTCACGCGCTGACCACCCTGATGGGAAACGCCAAGAAAAGGAGAGCAAAAGTTGTGAGACCATTCCATCCCATCCCTGTGAAGGAACCGACCTCCTGGAACAAGAACATCAAGAACCCTGAAAGGTAGAATGATAAGCATGCCTATGCGTGCCGAGTCACTACGCAATGAACTGGGAAGACGTCTCATGACATGCTTGCATGCACGCGCCCATGCAGTTTCCACACCTCAAACTAGCTTGAAATATGGCATAAGCATCCCCTGACAGATCTGAAGCCTTGACTTTTTGCTTCCATCTTTTACGTCCGCTTCTGGTAGCATCTAACTACAGGTTACAGGCTTGAGGGAGCCTGGGCCGGCCGCGGGCAACGAACTGAATCAGAGAAGCTGATGAAAGATACAAAGTGTACAGAGTCGCATGCCCGAAGGACGTGGAATATCAATTGGTACTGTTATTACCATTCTGGATAACTACTATCATTACTAGTATGACTATAAAGGTGTATTCTCCTGAACGCCAATATGCCAATGTAATCGGAGTCGCCACATGCGTGGGCTAATGACATTATGGAAAACAGCTCGAAATTTTCTGAAGACACATCTCATCAAATTGGAATAACCATCTCTCACGCACAGGTCCTCAAAGTTGTTGAACTTGCCACCACGCAATGGATAATTGTTGTTGGCTGTGCCTTGGAACAACAGGAACACAACCCCTGAGCCTCCAGTCTCAACCGCCATTGAAATTATGGAGCGGCAATAGACAAGAGCCTACACATGAGAGAGCTTCAGGCGAAACTGCGAAATCCTATAATCAGAACCTTACATCCACAACCCTAAGCCCTAAACCCATGAACCCTAAACCCTCAACCAACCACCAAACCACCGGTGTTTGGCAAAAGCAGCTCGTTCCCTGGCTGCACGCTACTTTCAGGGTCTTCTTGACTGGGCCACTGGTCAGGGAGACTTAACGACTTTGGGAAACCTGTGCAAGACCACAAAGCCTGCAAGCACCTCCCCGCACAGTACTGGGCTTCTGTTAAGGAACTCGAATTACGTTACTATAGTGGGGAAACCCCAGTATCTACTACATATATCCATTCTGGAATTATGGTAACTTGATTTAAGTTCCTTAGCAGCAGCCCAGAATATGGTCACATGCTTACTTTAAGCTTCTGCAGTCCATGCAGCCTGCATAAATGGCACCACCGTTGTCAGACGTAATAAAGATGATGGTATTGTCGTACTGATCCTGCTCCTTGAATGCGTCAACGAGGTCCCCGATCACCCAGTCGACATATCCTTGGCGCCCCCATCTGAGCCGCAGTTTAAAGTCTAAACTCCTAGTATCCCCCTGAGTAACCCCTAAAGTAGGGCCCCTTTGAATCCCCTATATAACCCCCTTTAAGGAATCTAGACTATAGTACATCTGAGGACTCAAGCTCACACCTTCGCAGTAGCATCGTAATCTATCAGCACACAGACTCAACGGCACCCGCACGTCGGGAAGCTTACCACAACATGCTCGCAGCAGTTGGGCATGTCAAAGCGTCAAGGAAGTTGTGCTCGAATAGCATGATACGAGGTTCTTGAAGCTTTCTGCTAGAAATTCAGGGCTCTATATCCTAATCCTAGGCTGGGATCGTGGAGCCGGCCGCCATGGCCTCTGAAAAGGACAGAAGCCAAGCATGCTAGCTGCAAAGAACATTATAGAACGCCTAAGTTGCAGTAGTCACATAGCATATGGTGTTTGCCGGAAGCGGCATGCAAATCCGAACTCGGGTGCGAGGGTCGCAGAGCTCCGTAAGTGGCCGCCCGCAGGTCCGTGTTCGTTGGGCTGCTGAGGTTCGTCCTGGTTTCTTGCTGGCTGGGTTCTCAAGGAGTAGGAGGCGCTCAGCATTTGGTGCTCGGGTGATGCAGGCTGCACATGTAAACATAAACCGTTCCCTCTGGTACAGAAATGCCGAAATACCTGCGCAGATCTCAGCGCAAATTTGACAACACAGACATACCTAAACACCAAAAGTAAAATAATAGCACAAAACCACGAAAAATAGCTCAAAAGGCAGCTATTCTGCATACCTTTTGGGTTCAGTTACTTATGACCGGCAGCTCAAGCATTGGCTGGTCTGGGAAATCCTTCAATGTAGGCATCTTTGGCAACTCCTTTTATGTATGATCCAGGGTTGCTACCCCCCCCCATATGGTATGGGTCCCCCTCCTCCCCCGTGGTTGTTGTGGTCTGTCCCCTGTGGCACCTATGCTGTGTTGGTGACTCTCCTACCCCCCGTGTGGTCCCTGTGGTTCTGGTGGTGCTGTCCATGTGGTTCTGCTCCTTTTCTGTGGACCCTGTGGTTGTTGTGGTCCTGTTGGTTGGACATGTGACTGCACTGGCAAGAGACTCAAAGCTTCACCCTGTGGTACCTATGCTGTGCTGGTGATTCTCCCCCTCCCCCCCTGTGGTCCTGTGGTTCTGCTGGTCCTGTCCATGTGGTTCTGATGGTATATTAAGAGGGTGTGGGTATTCGCAGATGATTCTGCTTCATATCCGATATTATTTCTAATTCTGTTACCTACTGATTTTGGACACAGGTTTATTTGGAGTAGAGCTATAGCCGCAGGTATAAATGGCACGAAGGTCTAACAGTGACGACAGTTACAGGGATCGCGACCCCAGGAGGTCCCTTCCCTGTGACTGTTGGCGCTTTTCAGACGCCAAGACCACACGGAGGTCCAAAAGTGATGACAGTTACAAGGATCGTGACATTAAGGGGCCCCAGCCCTGTAACTCTTGGGACTTCTGAGAGGCGACGAAAGCACGAAGAGCCGAAAGTGACGACAGTTACAGGGATGGCAGCTTTGAGGTGTCAAAAACGATGACAACTACGAGGATCGCGACCTCGAAGGGGCCCCATCCCTGTGACTGTTGGCACTTTTGAGAAGTCTGGGCTGGGGAAAGGGGGGACCCATACCATTGGGGGGGGGGGGGG